AAAAAGTATTTTTATGGACGATATATATTGCAGAACAAAAGCTTCAGACAGACCCTATAAGGTACCAGTAGAGACAAGGTACAGCAGAATTTTAAAATATGTACTAGTTTAAAAACAAAAATAAGTTGCCAGCCAATCAAGCATGTTCCACGGAATATTGATCCTACATGTACAAGAGTAACTGAGGATGTGGAAGAGCAGAGGCAGCATCAGCACAAGTAAATGTACAAGATCAGCAGGGCAAAGCGGTCTGAACGGTCGTGCTATCCGTGTGATCTTAGCACAGTGCTATCAACTGGGCAGAAACTTTCAGCATTTCTCTAGTGAGAGGGGACCTTTATTCTCACAATCACTTCAGGAACATTTTTAGTCACACAGTTTCTGTGGGCTCAAGTTAGGAGTTCTTTTGCTGTCATCATCTTTAATACTCTGGAATATGCACTTCCTGCGCACACAGCCGCAAGTAGGAAGGTTGCAGCAGTGCCTGGCAAACAGTTTTGTACGTGCATCTCTGAGCAAAAAGCCCTTAGCACTGTTAAAAAAAAACCTTCTGCACCTCTTTTTCTATGCACCTCTTTGCAGAAAAGTCATTTCAGAAAACTGCTCCCGTCTTGTTGGAGAGAAAAACGCACTGCAGTGCTGGCAGACACAGGACGCACACCCACCCGCACGCCCCGAGACAGCTACACACTAATTAATATCTGCCTCAGAAGACAAAGTTCTGAAAGGAACAGCCATACTTGTTAAATACCTTGATAGTCTCAGGAAGGTTGAAGTGCTGTCTTTTCTCCTTTAATCGTCTCAATACGCTGTCCATCGTTTCTTCTACCGAGAGAGCTGGTTCCATGCTTGTGGCCTCCTGTGTCCCAGCCTCTGTAGAGGCCCCAGTGCTTTCACAATGATCATTTCTTTGGGGTGCTCTAGAGGTACAGTTTTGCTCTTCTGACATTCTGAGTTTCAGCTCTGAAATGCAAATGACTTGGCGAGTAAATAGATTGGAAGTATTTGCAAAGAAGTGTCCTCTGACACGACAAGAAAAAAACATCCACATTTCTTGCATACAGTTATTATCATACCACAGTTGTGTAGGAAAGTAACTCTGCTTCACTTCAACGTGTAAGATCTTTTACATGGTTAAAGTGAAAACCAATGGTCAAGGGATGAGCTGTGTCCAGAGCAATGAAGCCCACAGCACACACGCGCTTCTCCTTTCCCTCCAAGCACATCTCTGACATAAAAGGTATTGTCGTGGGTGAGGACTGAAGAGGCACTGGGTTAAAGAGGGGGGCCGGGGTAGGAGTCAGTGTAGAATTTCTGTGGGAGTGAGGTTAGCAAAGGGGCTTAAGAGGACAAACAGCACTTCAGAGTTTTTGGGGGAGTCTGGGGGGCGGATACGGAAGCAGAGCTCCCTCTCTCCCGCTGCTCACTAAACCCATGCACTGTCTGGTGATCTGATGTCCAGATGAGTAAGACCATGCCCAAGCCTGATGTGGGGATTGTTGTCTGAGGACGCGGTCCTTCACAGATGCCTTCCTGGACAAGAGGCAGTGTTCCTGCAGGCACTGCCCCACTCTCAGCCCGGCTGTGCTCGCCTGCTGTCCTGCGCTGCTGCAGGAGTGGGGAGGCGAGCAAAGACCCTCCCCGGGAAGGGCTGGGGAGGCTGCGCTGGGCTGCAGGGCCCACCATGCCAGCCTGCTGGAGCCATGTGCTCCAGGTCTGCATAACCAAACCACTCTTCTCTTGCACAGTTTAAACCTTCACCCTGCCGGCCCTGGCCTGCGGGCCCCCCCATGCCAGCCTGCTGGAGCCATGTGCTCCAGGTCTGCATAACCAAACCACTCTTCTCTTGCACAGTTTAAACCATAACCCTCCCAGCCAGAGGCTGCACTGCCATCCCAGCCAGGCTACTGAGCTGGTCCTCACAGGGAGAATCACCCACTTCGCTTAAATGGCTTCCCTTGGCAAAAGAACGCCTGAGCAACGAAGAAGAAGACATATAGGTTACAGTGTGTCCTAGCTTCCCAGTCAGCAGCCTGCCTGGGCGCAGTAAAGTGTGTAAGTATATGAGCTTGACACCAAGTCAAAGACCCTGGAGCTCTAGGAATCTGCACAGAGCAACAAGGAAATTGAATTACAGTCTGAATTAGCTCCCGTAAAACCAGGCTTTATTCCTAGCGTATACCTGGCTGGTGAAGGACCTTGGGCAAGGCAGAGACTGATGGCTGCAAATATGTTAAATTTATTGAAATCCATGCAGAAACAGTAACATATTTTTTTTAGGTGTGACAGTCCAAGGATACAGGCTAAGTTTGTAGGGGAAAAACAGC